ACTTGAGACGTGGTGAGGGGCTGTGCAAACAACGGGGTTGGGGTTCGCTAGCCGGTGGGGCGCTCAACCCCCTGCATTGATGCCCCCAGGACAGACACGGTATTCCTGGTCGCCCGGGAGCTGTCACAAGTGCCCAAGGCCTCGCTGGTGGAGCCTCTCTTCTTGCCCAGCAACCTTCTCTCTCTCTTCTGCCGCTACCTGGACAAGCAGACCGTCCACCACCTGGAAGCCAAGATGGAGTGAGTACTGCGTGGCACGGCTCCCTGCTTCTGCCAGGGATCCCTCAGATGCAGCAGGCGGCATCGGGGGCTCACTGCTTCTGTCCCCTTGGGGACCTCACTGGGCGCAAGTCTCCAAACCTCCACTGGGCTGAGCTGATCCTTATGGCTTTGCCCCTGTTCTTAGCCGTCCCGGGACCATGCTGGCTGGCGCTGGGTTTTGTGTTTGCATCAGGTTCACCACACCTTGATGGCACATCCCCATGGGATGAATCAAAATGGGGGGCAAAAAGTCAGGGGGATCCCCCCAGCAATTTAGCCAGCAGCTCTAGGGCACCCTGGGGTGGTTGGGCAGGCAGGCTCCAGGCAGCTGCCGGCAGCACGAGTGTGACAACCTGATGCTCCAACCTCGTCCTTTCTCCACAGGTGCTCCCCGCTGCCGTCGGAGGCTGCCATGCCGTGCTGAGCCCTGGGAACTGGGGATGGGAGCCGGGGCCAGCGGTGTCAGGAACGGGCAGGGCCTGTGACTTTGAGTTTCGAAGCATACACTTACCCTGGTGCGGGGCACTCTGGGTGAACCGGGCACTGGCAGGGCCGGCGCTCGAGGGCTGATGCCGACCTGCCCCGGTGCCTGGGAGCACAGCACGGGGAGGCGGGTAACTTATTTTGGCCTCGCACCCAGCAGCAGTGAGCGCCAGATCACGGCAGGTGTCGAGGTGGGGTCTGCAGAGGGGCGCTGGGAGCACCTGGGGGTGAGTGACTTTCTGTACAGCACTTGAAATAAAATAAAAAGGTGATTAATGAGCTCCTCCGGCTCCTATGGGCAGCTTCTGCTGTAAGCACAGGGGTCCTGGAGGCATCGCCTGGGCATGGAGACCCCTGGTCGGGGATGGTGGGGATCTGAGTGCGTAGTAAAGGGGAAGGAGAAGCAGGGAAGGATGCACAGAGGACCCAAAAAGAGGATAAAGGGGGATGGAGGAGAAGGCAATGTGTTCCGAAGGAAGCGGAGGGGATCAGAGGGACCCATGTGGCTGGGGACAGAGGGGAATTGAGCTCCCAGGGAGAGGAATGGGCTGGAAGAAAATGGATGTGGTGGGGAATATGGGGTGAGAGCTTGCCCTGAGGGGAAAGGAAAGATCAGTGCATGCAGGAGGACACATCTGGGTGCACCTGGGGAGGATACGGGGGATCTTGAACATACATGGGTGGGTAATAAAGTGCCTCTTCTCTCTGCTGAGCTCTCAAAGGCTAATTAGTCTAAAGGCTTGCAGGCATGGTCGTGACGAAGTACCTTGAAGCACCTTTTCTTGAGCCACTTTAGCTGACCATGACTACCCTCACTCCTGCATCTAGGGCTGAGGGGGTGCCTAGGTGCAGCATCTGGTCTCACTGTAGAAATCTTTGCGGCTCCTGCCTGGCTTGCAGGGGTATATGGTGGGATTTCCCCTAACCCTGTGGGACATCGGAGCCTAGGACGCCTGTGCCTGAGCACCTGGATGCCCATCCAGAGGTCTAAACTTAACAGCCAAAGCCTGGTGTGTGTTCAAAAGAGGTTTGCACCAGAAAGTTGTCTCATCCTCAGACTGGTGGCTATCGTATCTGCCCAAGCTCCAACCCCATGTAGACGAGAGCAGATGAAACTATTCCTTTAAACTGACATCCTCCAGAGGTCAAACTAATGCACATGGAGAATTTGCAGAAAATAAGGATGTGACCGGTATGGCTGAGCGGCTGGGTGGGATTTATCTCCACGGCTTACCAAGACAGCTCGCATCTCAGCTTCTGAAACGCACTTCGGAGGAGCAACTGTGATGCCTGAATACAGCTGTGCAGAGACAGATGCCGCAGATGTGATGCAGGGCCTAGGGCGGGCTCCTGCCTTTTGTGCTAGAGGCGAGGTGTAGGCTGTCAATCATCTAAAAGGGTGCAAGGTCCAGCTGGAAGGAGCTCCAGATCATTCTGGCAGCTGCTTTTGTCATCCCGATGCCTCTCCTGCTCATCTTGGTTGTCCTACAGCCTCAGTCTTTCCTCTGCCCTCAAAATCAGGTTTGCCAAAAGCAGGTTCAAAGCCTTCTCCACTTGCTCCTCACACTTCATTGTTGGAAAGTTCTTATTTGGGACAGCTATGTTCATCCCTACGCATCCCTAGCCATCCACAGCTATGTCACTTCAAAAGAGTGACACTGGCAGGTTGTCATTGGGGTGAAACCCGTAGTTTTAACCCACAGAGGCAATCTGGGACAGTACCTGCATGGTGACCCCCGTGTAAGCAAAAGGAGGGACCTTGCCACTACAAACCCTAGAGACAATTTCAGACAGAAGGGAACTAGCAGCTGCTCGCTGATTTGTAGGAAGAGAGGAGGACACCAGCGAGTTCTTCAAGATAAGGATAAGCCATGTTATGTTTTCGGTTTGCAACGGAGCAGAGCGCAGACCTAGCGAGAGCGCTCCTCACCTGAGAGCCAGCGGGGATGGAGGAGGAAAGTGCGACATGGTCGCAATCACGTACAAAACCAAATGTTCCAACGTAGAAGGGTTGGAGGTCTTTACCGGACTTTGCTGCTTCGCTGCAGGAAACAGCTGAGACAAAAGAAGGAAAATCCATCTCTTTTGGTTACTCTCCCACAACCGAGGGACCCACACCACGCAGCAGCCCCCTTGGTGCTTCCTGCCAGGAGAAAGAGACCCTCTCCCTGGGGCACCACCCAGTGAATTAATCCAGCTGAGGGGTGTCCAGCAGCTCAGGGACCCCGTCTGCATTGGGATCTTCTCCCTTAACCCTAAAGCTGATGAAAGTCCAGGGTGTCTCACCTGGCTCTGCTTTACCTACTGCCCTGCCCGGCTCCTCCTCGTACTGTCCCGAAAGAGCCACCAGCCATGTGGGGTGGTGGTGACCCATCACCACGAGTGAGCAGCTGGACCATGGGGAGTCACTGTCTTAGGGATATGGGACTCATCCTGGGATGTCCTTAGGGTATGGGGCTCATCCTGGGATGTCTTGGCGGGGTATGGGACTCATACTGGGATGCAGGGAAGAGCGTTTTGGGCTTGCACAAGACTTATTACCAGCTGTTTAGGGGAGGAATCAAATGTGGGGAGAGGGAAGGTTCAAGGTGGTTTATAGCAGTGTCGTTGGGGTTCTCTTGGGCTCCTCCCAAAAACCCTTGAGCTGAACAGGCGGCCATCCCAGTCAGGGTGTGGAGGGGACGGCAGCTGTCCCTGGTCGAGGTGTTGAGGGGACTGCAGCCATCTTGGTCAGGGCACTGAGGGGGACCATGGCCACCTCGGTTTGGGTACTCAAGGGAGGGTGGCTGTCATGATAGGAGTGTTGAAGGGACCACAGGCATCTTGGCTGGGGCACGGAGGGTCTGTGGCCATCTTGGTTGGGACATCAAAGGCACCAGGGCGTATGGGTTAGGGCATCGAGGGGTCAATGGCCGTCTCAGCTGGGTCGCCTCAGTGGAGGTGCTATCATTTTACTCTAACTCCTGAAATGCAGAGAAAAGACTATGTTGAGGAAGGAGACATTGCTTTATTCGATAGTGCGCAGAATCGGACACTCGGGGGAAGTTCCCCAAATCGAGTGTAAGGTTAAGCAGAAAACTTAGCATATTTATAGACTCAAGTCTGCATAATTCATTAGTATGGCATATGCATCACATTGACCCTTCTTATCTACTACATTTACATATTGCTAACGTTGCAAAACTATACTAAGCATGCGCGGGGGTCCCGAGTGGTCATCGGTGGTCGTTTGGGTAGGTGGCCCCTACTCATTCCAAGGCGCAGTTAACTTCAGGATGCCACTACGGATGCTATTTTTCCAAAGGCTTTGTAAGCATTCTATACATCCTTAATTGCTCAAGTCCTTGTGGTTGTTATTCCAAGATAAGTTCCTGTTACAAAATTCCATCCTTGACCTCGTGAATGCTCCGCACGATAGCTAAAGCTACAACAACTAGAGCATATTTACATAAGGTTATGTTTAAACTACGCTGGTATCAGAGGGGACCACGGCCGTCTTGGTTGGGGCATTGATGGGACCGTGACCATCTTGATTGGGGTGCTGAGGGGACCACGGCCGTCTTGGTTGGGGCATCGAGGGGACCACGACCATCTCCGTTGGGTTGCTGAGGGGACCGTGGCCATCTCAGCCAGGGGCTGAGGGGACGCGGCTGGGCCGGCCAGGTGCTGAGGGGACGCGGCCATCTCAGCCGGGGCGCTGAGGGGACCGTGGCCATCTCAGCCGGGGCGCTGAGGGGATGCTGCTGTGCCGGCCGGGCGCTGAGGGGTCGCGGCCATCTCAG